CCCCAAAACCCCAAAACCCCAAAACCCCAAAACCCCAAGAAGATAAAATAAAATTGAAATAAAGTAAAATGTTTCATAGTCAGCATAGAAGAACTTTTATTTCCTTTAATTTTAGCCCTTAAAGCTTTAGCTAAAGGCCATATTATAGAGAATTGACACCTGCAAATAGCATGAAGGATCATAATTTAGCATTTCAAAGGTCCCAAATTCTTGCCAAAGTAAATGGATTTGCAGACACAAAGTTTGAAAAGTATAAAATCAACAGTATTGTCAATTATGGACAGAGGCTTGCTAGTACTCCAAATCAAAGTGTAGTGTAAGCTTTCATCTTAAAATAGTATGAAAATTACATGTATGAGAGCTCAGAAGATATCAAAACCTATAAAATTTAATAAACATCTACTTCGATCCACTAATCACTCCAACCTCACTATAACCCGACCATCAACAGATTGGAAAAACCCTGGTTCAACCAAGATGCGACCAATCTCCACCACATACAATTCTCCAAAGTACCTAAACCTCTCTCCAAAGCAAAATTTAACCCTCGAAAACCCCAAAAACACCCACACCACCACTAAAAGATCTCTTAGCCCTGGTAAGATCTCTTTTAACCATCCCAGACTTTGGAATCCATCTTTTTCCCATCAAGAAAAACACCATGTGCATCCATAACCGCCACAGGACCCTCTCCACTACAAAAATGTTCATAAAATCCATCCAGCACAACATTTCCAGACTAAAAAGAAACAGGGAGTTCTGGAAGCCCACAATAAAAATCTGTAAATAAAGCAGTCAAAAAGTAACATCTCTTCCTAAAAATTTCCAGAAAACGTACTGTCCCAGCCAAGCCTCGTAAGAAACCAGACAAGATCTTCACTGAAGAAGAAGTTTTGAACTTACCTTTCAACGAGACTAGGGCCAAGCTTGAAGGGGAGATTTTGAGGAAGAACTTTAAGAATTGGGATGACCAGGTAGGGGTTGGCGGTCAGTGGTGTAGAACTCGGTCAGGATTCAGAAGGTCTTTAGAGGGTACATGATGCGCAAATATTATTTTAAGAGAGTACTTGGAGGGTGTGAGATTTAGATGCAAGAGAGGATGATAAGGAATTTCAGAGAGGATAAATGAGCCAGAGTGATACAAAGAGAATGGAAAATATTTAATTTTCAGAGGCAAATGAAGAGAGATGCTAAAGAGAGAAGAGATATAGCTTGTACTAGGATTCAGAAGTTTATGAGAGGCTTCAGGTATTTTCAATATTGATCCTCTTTTAGTGTCTTTAACTCTTGTGGAGCACAAAGAACAATGGCAAGTATGGCAGCTCTCCAGAAATCACTTCGCTCAACCTCTAGGAGAAATCGAGCAGCAAAGATTATTCAAAAGAGATTTAGGAAAATCCGTTCAAGAGTAAAGATAACTTAACTTTTAGATGCGTAAAAAGAATAATAAATCTTTACTTGAACAGCAGAGATTAGAAGAAAGGCTAGCTGCTCTTAAGAAGCCAAAATCAGACGGTAGAATCAAGATAGTTAACCGAGGAGGTACCATCATCAGAATTGATGTCGATGAGGAAAGAAGGAGGTAAACATTCACATTTTTATTCTTCTAGAATTCTTAAGAGAAAGGAGAGGTTAAGAATAAACTCTAAAAAGAACAAGAAAAAGAAGCATGACTAATTCAATTTATTCATTAATTCTTGGGGTTTTGGGGTTTTGGGGTTTTGGGGTTTTGGGGTTTTGGGG